AAAGTACTGAGTAAAAGTGAGCAGTTAGATTTTCCAAAATGACATTTATTGGGCGGTGTCTTCTCCAAAAAATATTTTTTCTAACAACGTGCAGCTGTGATGGGTTGTGTACAAGCTAATACTGTGTCAGAATGGTATATATTTATACTTTTCATCCAACCACAATTAAATTCCCTCTATCCAGGAGACACAATTTATCAGGATAGTATTTTTTTAAGCAAAAACAACTTGRAATAAAATAGGAGTAATGACTTTCTACTTCTTACCTTTTTAAAAAATGTAGTGAGTAGAAAGTACAGATAATTGTGTAAAAATGTAATGAGTAAAAGTAAAAAGTATGCTGAAAAATAATTACTCAGTCAAAGTACAGATAACTAAAATTTCTACTTAAGTACAGTAACAAAGTATAAAAAACCACTCTCTAAGAGCCCAAAGTTTAAAAGCGTCCTGCCACATTGTACATTAATCCACCTCATTATAAACACCAGCRTAGCCTTAAGCTGCTTTAGGAACCATAATTTGAATCATTTAGCAGTTATTCAGCCTGAACACGATGTTTTGTTTTTGTACAGTTTACAGATCCAGGTGTTATATCCCCTGTGGTGCACAGGTGCACAATATATTCACAAACTCAAGTGTTTCATTACACTTATGTGTAAAGACATTGTTTTTTTTAAATCCCAATATGCTAACACAACTGTGTAACTAATGATGAGCATCTTGTGATGGAGGTCCTGCTGAGCTGCCTGCCACTAGATGGCAGTGAAGCACTGCATCCAGGCTGCAGCTGCTGTTTGGTGTTTGCTGTTGTCACCGTTGGTTGCTTCTATCTTATCTTCTCTCAGATCCTTCTTTCCCCATTGTAGCAAAGGAAGATAAAACCTGCCAGTGCAGACCGGTATCATATAGTGATCTGTTGCTGCTGAAAGCACATGGATAGTTAGAGCGGAGATAGAGAAAGTGGAGAGAGGGAGAGAGGAAGAGAAAGTGGGAGGAGAGGACACAGAGAGAAGGGAAGATAGAAAAGAGGGTTAGCAGCAGAGTAATTGGCCGCAGACGTGCTGCTAATGCAACTTGGTCTTTATTGTRTTCTTTCTTGGAGCACTACTTGTCCTCCTCCCGTCTCGGCTGTCTTTAAACTCCACAGACCTGCTTTTTCAGCCCCACTCCCAACTCTCCTCCCACCTTATTCTTGCTCCTCTCGTCCTCGAGTCCTTCGCCACACTCATTCAAAGCACTTTCTGTCCTCTTTCACCTTCTCAAGTTCCCTTTTCTCTGTCCCACACTTCCTCAGCTTTGCATACAACACCTCTTGTTATTTATTTATTTACTTCTTTTTACATCTGACACTTCCAGAGAATGAACATGGGGGATGTGCACCTAAAGGTTGGAGGGCGAGAGAGCTCCCACAGGGACTTCTGCTCAGCTTTGACCTCTGTGGGTTCATGGCTGTCCAGTTGCTTGAAGGCTCAAGCTGTACGAACAATAATTGAATAGTTTGATGAACTATAACGACAAATTACCAACTCAACTGTTTTATGGGCTAAAATCATAAAACAGATCCCTGTTTTTCATTTTGAATTAAAATAACATTCTTATTCTCTTCCTTTCAGCTGACTCTGGATCTTAGCCTTGCAGGAAGAGAAGCTGCGTTCCTCCAGCTCATCTCTTAAACWGCACTGGATCATCTTAACAACAAAGGGCTTCAAGAGTAGGAAGTTTTTCTTTTTTGGCTTTCAAGCTTTCAGCAGCTGCTTGAACAGGTTTAAACACCAAAACTTGGACAGCATCAGGAAAAACCAACACCTCTTCTCAACAATCTCGATTTTTCAAGCTYGTCTTGGTCACTTTCAAGAACGTTTAGCTAAGAACATCTGGTGTAGAAATCCTCCAACTTTTATGGAGCTCTGTTGTTGATCAATGGCTACTTTTGAGAAATAAAGATATTGCAATCTGTAGCATAAAAAAATGCCAAACTAAAGGCTCCTGAACGAGTGTTTTAATGTAAAGAATCAACAACCTTTTGGCTCGCAGCATCATTTCAGTGATGTCTTAGGATTTATTTATTTAAAACAGGGACARTTTAGTATRMATTAACCACAAMGAGAAAGATGCACTGTATCAAGTTATAGTGCCAGGTGCTCATTTCTGCCTGTAGTCCCTGACCCTGCTGATACATAAGTTTAAAAGAAAGAAAGAAATGAAAGCAGCTGGATGTTAGTCTAAAACACAACTAAAAACATCACGAATATACAAGTTTGGTAAAAACACTAAAAGCTCTTCAGATAGATGAACACACCCAGTATCAATGCATCTGTTCACATCAATCGTTATCCATGTGTTTCTGTATTGTTTTGTTTTCGGTTTGTTCCGTTGCCTCCCTGTGTTTCCTGCAATCCTCATTGTCAGCCTTCACTTCCTGGTTTAGCCACACCCACGTCCACCTGTTCCCTGTTGTCATTTCTCATCTGTCCTCACCAGTGGTGGGCACAGTTCCCCTAAAGCACTAACAGGGGAACTCATTTCTTGATTAGTGCTTTAGGGTTTTTGCTATTTTTTTAAATACATTAGTGGATTAGCACTTGCTAAGTTTATGGGCTAAATTTAGAAGCACTAACTGAGGTCTTTAAATGTTATTGATCAACATTATTGTTCACAGTTGAGGGTGAAAGCTGTCATACATTTTTTTCATATGTATGTCACTTATCTACAATGTGTTAAACTCAAGGCCCGCGGGCCAATTGTGACTCCCATTTGGCCCGGCAAGGGCATTAAGTGACAACGTTCTGCACACAGTAMCTAATGTGTCCTGTTGACTCTGAAGAATGTTTCATGTGGATTATATTAGCACTTTAGAATTAGGGGACCTAAATGTTTGAGTTAGTGCTTTAGGGTTAGTGCAACTAATGTTTAGATTAGTGCTGCCCACCACTGGTTTTCACCACACTGTCAGTCTGGCATCGTGCGGGCTTCATGTCATGTTCAGGTCGCCTTCGTGTCTCCTCAGCATGTTGTTTTATAAGTTTTTCTGCCACATCAGCACTTTGTTTTTGTTTCCTAAAGTTAAATCTTAACTTGAGCTCTTCGTGTCTAACCCTGCAATCCTGGCCTGACCTTTACAAACTGGAACAATCTCYCTGACTTACTTCCAGTACCCCGAAATATCAAACAAGACAAGTGTGTRAAATCTGATAAATGTGATGTTTAGTGCTGCATACGTTTTATTCCAACAATAATCCACACACTGACCCTTACAGCACTGCCTGACCTACATGCACTGAGAGTGAATGCGGTTTCATGGTGAGCCTGCAGAGAGTAGGTCTCCTAACTGAGCTGTGGGATTTAAACAGACTTTACAGATGCTGCATTTTGCAAGTGACTGTTGCAGTAATAGTTTTCTTAACACTTTGCTACATGAGTTTTCATCCCATCTTTCCTCGACACATACACAAGCAAGCAGGCACACACACTGAGACATAATTGGACCCAGCACACTACTCACAAGGGGGGACCCATCTGGAGGGGTTGTTTATGTGTGTATCTGTGTGTTTGTATCTCTGTGTTATAAGGTACATTTCTCTTGCAGTTCACCCCTTAGGCCCTGGGCTACATTTGCTCCCATCCATCAGCCAGATGAGCTGTGTCCTTTGAATGCTGCTGACAGCACAGAGAGGGAGAAAAATAGAGTCAAACAGTATATTTATTTGTAGATTAGAACCCAAATCAATACCCCCCCCC